CCAGGACACAGCAGGGGAGTGGGGAGAAGGGCCATCCTCTAAGGGAACCAGGTCCCCTCAGTCTTGCTATTCAGAGTGTGCTCCCCGGGCCAGGACGGTCAGCATCACCTGGGAGCTTAGTAGAGGCAGACTCTGGGGTCCACTCCACACCCGCTGAGTCAGACTCTGCATTTTCACAGGATCTGCAGACCCTCCGTGGGCACAGGATGGGCAGAGGCGGCCCCACCCCCACATCATGGGGTCTCAGCCTGGCTGGGCATCTGCTGAAGCAGCATTTCTAGGTGTCCCCTGGGCATTCACAGTCTTGATACAGTTCCACAGGTGATTCCAGCGCACAGTAGGGGTGACATCCCGGTGACAGGAGTTCCTGAGGCAGCCCCCAGGCTCCTGCTCCAAAGCGGAAAGCCACAAGGAGAGGAAAGAGGGCTGTGGGGGCGCTGTCCCTGCACCTTGACCCTGAGCTCTGTGGGTCTCCAGACTCCAACGGGACAGGCTTGTGCTTGTCCCAACAAGGGCATGTGCGTGCTCTCCCATATGCTGGGAAATCACAGCTGAAGAAGGATAGGCCTCAGCCCTTGTCAGGGAACCCAAATGTAGACAGAAATGAAAGGGATAGGGGCCCAGAAAGTCAGGAGGGAGGGGAGGAAGATGGAAGGGAGGAAGGGCAGGGACCTGACAGAGACCCCACCCCCATCCCACATGCCTCCCCCCAGTGCTCCTCTGCTCAGGGGCCCCTCAGAGCCCAGGGAGGAAGGGCGGCCAAGCGGACAAGTGTGGACAGCAGTGCTCGTCCTGAGTTTTTCTAGAGCAGAAGCTCTTCTCACAGAGGGAGGGACAGAGAGGGCAGCATGCACCATGGAGCCCCCTTCATCCCCTCCCCGAGGAGGACGGGTCCCTGGCAGGGGAGGAGAGAGGGCTGTGAGGGCGCTGTCCCTGTACCTTGACCCTGAGCTCTGTGGGTCTCCAGACATCAACGCGACAGGCTTGTGCTTGTCCCAACAAGGGGGTGTGCATACTCTTGCATATAGTGGGAAATCACAGCTGAAGAGGGAGAGGCCTCAGCCCTTGTCAGGGAATCGAAATGTAGACAGAAGTGAAAGGGGAAGAAGGGGACAAGGAAGTGGGGAAGGAGGTAAGGGGTGGAGGAGGGAGGGGAGGGGAAAAGAGGGGCCCTGGCAGATACCCCGCCCCACACTCCTGCCTCAGAGGCCACTTAAGACAGAGCCAACATTGGGACAACTGCTCTTCCTGAGCATTTCTGGAGCAGAAGCTCTTCTCACAGAGGGAGGGACAGAGCGGGCAGCAGGCACCATGGAGCCCCCTTCAGGCCCTCCACGAGGAGGACAGGTCCCCTGGCAGGACCTCCTGCTGGCAGGTGAAAGGGACAGTTCCCTGGGAGGAAGCGGCAGGGTGGGAGAGAAAGGCTGGCTGGGGTCTCCAGGGAGGACAGGGCTCTGAGAGGGGACAAGGGAGCAGGGCAGGACTGGGGGAGCCGCTCAGCGACAGGACTGTCTCAGGATCTGGAAGTGGTGAGCCAAGGGCTGTTTCCAAGTTACTCATCACTGGGCACTGAATTTGGAAAACGGACGATAACAACAACCAGGGACCCTAATCATTGCTCCTTCCCACCAACCTGAGATCTTGACAAGCGCCAGACTCGGAGGGCCCTGGGGACACATTCATTCAGCCCCGGTATTTGCCGCCTGCCCCACCACTGGGGTACAGCACAGATCAGAGAAGTCTCTGCCCTCCCCGAGCTCACTTCGGTGGGGACGAAGACAGACACCCAGAGACGTCTAGAATGTGAGGTCAGGTACTGACAAGCCTCATGACGGGAACAGAACAGGGAAGGTCAGGATGTGGAGACAGAGGGTCAGCAGAGGAGGCGGTCAGGGCAGGCCTCTCCCGAGGAGCCCCTGAGCGTGAGCAGGTATCTGAGGGCAGTGAGGGAGTGAGCGACACACATGGGAGGAAGTTGTTCCAAACAGAGGAAGTAAGTTCAGAGGTGAAGCGGTGCGGTCATGCCGCTGACCTTGACCAGCAGACACACACACAGACACACAGATACCGGTGCACACTCACGCACACACCCCGAGGCTGGGGGATGAGGACCTGCTCCGTCTGCAGGGCCCCAGCTTTCCCTCCGACTCCTAGGTCCAGACCCTGATCCTTCTGCTCCCTTCCCTCCTAGTCTCGCTCTTAACCCTCTGGAACCCGCCCACCACTGCCCATGTCACTGTGGAGTCCGTGCCGCCCAGTGCTGCCGAAGGGAAGGACGTCCTTCTGCGAGTCCACAATCTGCCTAGGGATACTGGACGCTTCAACTGGTTCAAAGGGGCCACAGCAAAGGAGAACCGTCGTATTGTATCATATACAGTAGATGCACAAAAAACTACTCCAGGACCTGCACACAGCGGCAGAGAGACAGTGTACCCCAATGGATCCCTGCTGTTCCAGAACATCACCCTGAATGACACAGGAGTCTACACCCTACAATTCTTAAATAGAACTTATGACACGGCACAAGTAACTGGACAGCTCCATGTATTCCGTGAGTAATTCCCTCTCACCTCTGGTGCTGGGTGGGGTGAATTCCTGCTTCACACAGGATGACAGGCCGGGACTGGGCCTCCTTCCCCCTCTGCATTATGTTCTGTGTGGGGGGAGGGTTCCAGCGTTCAGTGCAGGACACACAGTGGAGACTAACTTCCTAAGATTGGAATTCCTTTCCTGGAATCCGGACTCTGGGATCATCCGAGAAAGACTCTGCAGGGTCAGTCAGGGTCAAGCTTGGGGGTCCCCGATATCCTCAGCAGAGCTCAGCCCAGACCACTGTCTCAGGGCTCCTGACTCTAGCGACCCTGGGGCATCTGTGCCAAGATGGGGTTGGGGCTCCTGGACAGAGCTGACTGGGAACAACCATTTCTGGCTGCCTGAGCTGGTCACCAGCCAGGGTTCAGTCTCAAGAGCCACATCGGGGGAGGGGCCAGGCTTGTCCCTCACCTGAGGCTCAGCATGGACAGCACAGACCTAAAAAGCCCCCAGTCCATTAGCCAACTGCTCTGGGGGACTTGGGGGACACCAGAGGAAGGGCAGAACCACCAGGGAGGAACAGAGCAGAGAGAAGCTCTAGGCCACCCCTCCTCCACCAAGAATCAAGCCCAGGGCCTTCTCTTGTGGAGCAAAGTAGTAACACCTGCCGTTTGATTGGCCAGACGCTATAGCCCAAATTTGGCTCAGGTATTTGGGGTTGTTTAAAGGATAATTCACAGGCCTAGCAAGTAGAGGTCATTTATCATTGTTCCTGGTGCATTAAGGGGAAACCAAGGCACAGGGAGACACAGTCACTGAATCAGGGTCACACAGACTGAGGAGTGGCAGATGGGAGTGACCCAGGTTCTGTGTGCAGACACAGCCCCGTCCTCTCCTCCATCAGAGGGAGGGATGCTGGTGTGGG